CCCTACACGTATACGCTTTTTTTTTCTTCATTAAAATGAATTTTTAAAATATAATATTTCTTGATTGATTAAGTTTTATATTTTCTGTTTAAGTACTGCAATAATCTATAACACGTGTTTGGGTTAATTCTAAAAAAATATCCAAAATCCTAAATTTTTTCAATAAAATACTCCAATTAATATTATAACTAAAATACCAGACCTTTTATAAAATTCCCGAATAAATATCTAAATTATAAAATTCTCATACAAATATCTAAACTTTTCAAATTTTTTAGAAAATATCCAGACTTTTGAAATCTCCCAAATAAGATCATATTTGTTAACGACATTTAATATTCGAATGTTAAGTCATTAATTTTTTACAGATTTCATTATAAATTAAATACTGTTAATGAATTTTGGTTTTTTTTAGAGATTTTAAAAAATTTGGATAATTATATAGAAATTTTAAAAAATTCAGATATTTTTGTATGAGAATTTTATAGTTTAAATATTTATATAAAAATTTGTAAAAATTTAGATATTTATATGAGATTTTTTAATTGACTAATTAATATCTCAATTTGAAAATAGGGGTTCTTGGCTAAGTGTAACAAAAAGATGACATTTTACTACCATTACTTTATTGTATAATTTTAATACTGTCATTTAGCGCCCCGAAAAATGTGCAATATAAAAAACAGAGTTTTTTGGAAACTGTGTAATTCGGGAGAACTGTTTTTCATCCGGAGAGTTTGTTTTTATCCGGGAGAACAATCTTTTGTCTGGAAGAGTTTGTTTTTTGTCCAGGAGACCTGTTTTTCGTCCGGGAGAGTCTGTTTTTTTTTGTCCCGAAGAACTGTTTTTCGTCCGGGAGAGTCTGTTTTTTGTCCGAGAGAATTTTTTTTGTCCAGGAGAACCGTTTTTGTTCGGGAGAATTTGTTTTTGTCCGGGAGAACTGTTTTTTGTCCGGGATGGTAGTTTTTTGTCCGAAAAAATCTGTTTTTCGTTCAGAAAGGTTTGTTTTTTTGTCCGGAAGAACTGTTTTTTTTTCGAGAGAGTTGTTTTTCGTTCGGGAGTGTACGTTTTTTGTCCGGATGAAAAATAGTTCTAACGTATACAAAAAATTGTTTTTCATATAAAAAAATATTTTTTCCCGATAAAAAGAATTCTCTCAAAACCAATTATTCTCCGGACGAAAATAGACTTTTTCGGATAAAAAACAGTTCTTTCGGATAAAAAAAAGTCTTTCCCAAATGAAAAAATATTTTTTTCGGACGAGAAACAGTTGTTCTTGATAAAAAAAAATTATTTTTTCGTATACAAAAATAGTTAAACCAAATAAAAACAGATTCTCACATATGGAAAATAATTATCCCGGATGAAAAAAACAGTTTTCCGAGATAATACAGTTTCTCAATAAAATATATTTTTTATGTGACAGTGCTAATTTTCCATCTCTGACTCCACGTCAATAGACACGTGGATGTCACATCGATAACACATCAGATTGGATTAATATTTTTCAAAAAATTTCAATTCGGGAAATGTTTTTGGAATTAACTCTAAATATTTTTAAAACATTGATATTTTTTACTCAAAAAACAATGCTAAGAAAAATATAACCGAATTATCCAAACAATCAATTCATTTAACATAAAACCAGAACACTGCATATAAAACCAAGGTGTTCACTTGACATTGAAACATATTCGTGGTTTTGAAGCCGAACCAAATCAAAACAGAGATATTATAATTATGTTTTACAATCTATTCGAATTTTATTAGGGATGTCAATCGAGTCGAACCTACCCAATCCGATCGATCTCATGTTGGAAATATAAAAATGGTCCATAGAATTTTGAGTTTGGACTTCATATTAATTTGAACTCATTGATGGATATGAGTTAATTAAGTTTGAATGTCTATTGGTATTCATGGTAATTCATCTCTCCTTACCCTATAAATATACGATCTTGATTTACATTTTTTATCCATCAGAAAAATTATCAAAGTAAGGGTGAAAGGAGAGAAAAACTGATTTACTCACTTGTTTTTCAAAGTCATTCCACTGCAATATGGATTCAGATATATTTCATATACGATATATACTACTTTATTAAGTTTGTGTGAATTATGTAATACTATATCCAGTTCTGGTGAGTTTTCATAAAGTTATCGAAAACCATCAGAATAAAATTTACATTTGGTATCAAAGCATGTGTTTTGGTGTTATCATAATTCATCATTAAAGTTTCGAAATTATACTATATTTCGAAAATTATGTAACACGTTTTTATATATATCTCATTACGTTGATCTTAAAACATGTTTATTCATATACACAATTAAAAGTTAATGTGTGTATTATATATATATATATATATATATATATATATATATATTTCATTAAAATATATCATCAAAGTTTAAAATAATAAAAAAAATTAACGTGTATATATATACCTAAATTAGTATATATATATATATAATTATTATATAATAATAATATATATCATGAACATATCAAAATGCATATAAAATTACGTGTATTTTATAAAAGTTATGCATTCATTAATAACAACTTTAAATAAATAAATAAATTTATTGTAATGTATTAATATGATAACTTCTATGTTGTTATAATACATATAAATATGTATTATTATTTTTTTTGTATCTTCGTATAAGTATATATATTATGTATTAATATACCATATAGTAATTTATATGGATAATAGTTTATATGCTTTATGAAATTAGCTATGTGGATACATATTACATAGAAGTTAAAAATATTTTGATTTGTTTTATATTTTAAACTTGTTAGTCACCAAAGTGACCTAGTTTAAATTAAAATTAAATATTCAAATCAAATATGTATGTTTAATTGTTCATGATGAAAGGATGCAAATGTATGACATAAAATAAATAAATAAATAATTGAACAATTATAATTATTTATCATATTGTTATTAGATCATCCAAAGATAAATCAATGCATATGATTAATAATATTAAAGGGACATAATTTTTGGTTAATAAGTATGTATGTTCAAATATTGCATGCTTATTTAACTAGTAGTATTATGATGTCCATTAAAGTATATTTTGCATCAATGATTTCATGTATGTATCGAAGTATTGCTCAAA